TCAGATTTCGTTTTAATCTGTGACAATAACTAACTTAATACATCATGTTAGAATTATTCATATTGTTTACTGAAATTATGCTACTGGATCGACTAAATGTGAAAGATTAAGTTTGTTAAGCTGTAATAGTGCAGTTTATCTACTACAGCAGGCACGAAAGTAAATTTCATCTACGAAAGATTATGTTCTAGCTTTTTTTTAAAAAAAAAATAAAAAATGAAAGTCAGACCATTAGCTACTATTATATATAAGCAGTATAGAGTACCAAGTTCAACTTGCGTAATGAATTAATTTCAGAGTACATTTGATAAAAAAAAAAATCATATGTACAGTATATACATATAAAATATTTAAAATCTGAATCAATGATCTGTACAAATGTATATATATATGATAATTGATAAATTTGTTAATTTTTTAGCATTGGCGTTAGTATTTCTTTCCATAAACCGATTTTTATCATACAATATAAATCTTGTGTAAAGGTAAATTTTTTAAGCTTTATATAATTTTTGCAGTTTGGATAATATATATATAACATTTTAAATAATTAAAATTTAAAAACTAATAGTAATACCGTTATATAGTTATATCAACTAGAAGAAGATTCATATTCAACCACTATGTCTACTAATAGAAGCTCAACTATAATTGAAAACTCTGTTACTCCCTCAATATTCGTATATATTTGTGAATTATGTGATCGTAAATATAAATCTGAAAATGGATTCAATAAGCATAAAAAAGCAATTATACAAAATAACAATCCTAGTTCATATATTTACAAGCTTTCAGCTAAAGAAATAATATTTTTTAAAAAAACATTAGTACATATGATTAATGAACAATTAAAACTTATTTTAAATATTCTGAAAGTCAGCATTTTTCTTTTCCTTGTTCAGAAAGTCAGTTTTTAATATATTTCAGTGATATATTCATACTCTTTCACGATCTGGTTAATATACATATATTTCGAGGACCAACAGCATATGCAACATTTGGAGAAATTTTAGAAGATTCTAATTGGGGTGCTAAGCATTATTTACATAATCAGAAAACATTTGTTATGATTCATCATAATAGACAATCTCGTAATTTATTAAAAACTTATAAACAGCATCCAATTTCACATATTAATAATCAAACATTAATTAAGAAACAACAATTTAAAAAGAAAAAGCAGGAAGTAAAAATTATTTGGAGACAAAAACAATCAAAACCAGATATAAAAGGACATTTTACTTGTTCAGGATATATTTATTTGAATTTTACTATAGTTTAGTTACAATTTTCTGAAGCAACTAATTTATAAGTCTAATTTTCTAAAAATTATGAATTTATGTTTAATTTTGTTATTTTAGAAGAATTAGATTTAGTATATTTGAGGGTGTGGTGACTTAGTGAAGTGGTGAAGTTGTTGCACCCCCAAGCGATAGAGTATAAGTTCAATTCCAACGGAAGGCAAAAAATTGAATTTAGAAAAACGGATTCGGCAACTATTGTCGTGGCTAGGAAAACTCGAGATCCTGTAACCATGGTCGTACCAAGATAAAAATTGAAAGATTCTGGGGCATTTGCATAATAAAGGAGTTACACAAAGGCATGCAAGCTGGTTTAGTCAGCGCAAACTCAAGATAAGTCCTTCAGAATTGCAGAAAGCCACAGAGCCAATACGGTGGT